CAAACAACAGATCATTTACAATAAGCAGCTTAATTAGCTTTATATATTTTAACTAACCAAACAACAGAACATTTACAAGTGGCTTAATTAGCTTTATATATTTCCACTAACCAAACAACAGAACATTTACAAGTGGCTTAATTAGCTTTATATATGTTGGTCATGTGTTAGAATGGCAATTCTCCTTGTTGGTGAAATGTTGATAAACGCAGTGAGGTTTCGACGGAACCAGCTCCGATGGAAGTAGTCCTTTCTCATAAGATTTGGCTTACCCATCTACAAAGGTTGGCAACCTTCCTACTCACCTAAGCCTTGTTAAGGTCAATACGTTGCTAACCTTCTTTATCCACCTAAGCCTTGTTTACATTTTAAGGTCAATACAACTTTACTTGAAACGTGTAGTTACGTTAGGACTACTAATTACATGCTTTATCGCATTCAGTACTTCTTGGCTATTATAGTTACAAGAGAACAGTCCATAACACTCAAGAAGATAAGACAGTTAAGTGTAAAATATATATATATGCATATTACAATACTTCACTACCATACTAGGTCAGCAAAACTATAATAATTAAATACTAACTAAATTCCCCCTGCTGCTTTGGTTGTTTAGGTTATGTTTTTAAATAACCATAGTTCAACTATAAGAAAATGATACAAATAATATTAAAAAACTGACATTTATGTAATATTTAACAAGAGAAATTTGTAAATTTTATCATTCGGCTTGTAAACAGAGGTTTATCATATTCCACAAATATCAATAAACTGAACAATTACAGCCTATTTATTTCATTATTCTTTCTTCAGTCCATACTTAAATATATAGCAAAAAAAAAATATATAAAAAAATGTGTTTACTTCGACATATTAGGTCAGAGAGTTTAACAATAGTTTTGAATCTCAAATCATAAGTTATATTTTATTCTCTTGTAAACAAAAATACAAACTTTCAACACATACAGTTGGTTCGTTTGTTATCTCGATGATCCTTGAGAGTGGATGAAGAGCTCAAAATGTTATTCGACAGTTGAGAAGTGGGTGCACCACCTGTCAAGGACCCTGATAGCGCCAATAACCCTGTGGTGCTGCTTGGTGGCATTATCGGTGGCTGTAAACCTGCTAACGCTGCATGAGACATCATGGGAACAGGGGGGACATGGGTGTGAGGTGGCAGCTGCTGAGCGTGCATCTGTTGCTGTGAGAGACGGAAATAAAAACAAAACGTTTATTATTTCTAAGTTTTCCACACATATTTGTTTGTATATTACGATAAATCAGGGATAAAAAATATATAACAAAACGATTTTACAAGTTCAGCTTCAATGTTATCAACCAATCTTGAACACTTAACCATTGTAAGAGAAGGGATCATATTTGGTATGATACAAACTTAAGATTCAGTAGGATAAAGAACAGCTTGTTTGTCTAAGGTCTGTAATATCGACTACGTGACAAAATACTGAATATACAAACAGGAAACTGACGTGTTAGCTGTGAGGAAAAGGAATACATTAGTTTTGTGTGAAATTTCAAAGTTAAAAATATATATATATTTCCTCGAATGGTCATCAACCATCTCTAATGTCTTTAGACTTATGATTACGAGTATTTTCCTTATAGTATTTCTGTATATATATATATAAAATCTGTATGTGAGTATACTTAGCTCTTACTTAAGAAATTATGACAAGCACCTAATATTATGACAAATTGATGATAATTAAAGCAATATTACTAGTTCATGATAATTATAGCAACTAATGTCATGACAAGTTGATAATTATAGCAACTAATGTCATGACAAGTTGATAATTATAGCAACTAATGTCATGACAAGTTGATAATTATAGCAACTAATGTCATGACAAGTTGATAATTATAGCAACTAATGTCATGACAAGTTGATAATTATAGCAACTAATGTTACGAGTATTTGATAATAATTCTAGCAACTGCCATGATTAGTTGATAATAAGTTCTTCATTTACCTCTTTTTGTTATTACATTATATTATTTACTTATTTGTGTTATTATATTATATTATTTAGTTTTTTTGTTATTATATTATTTACTTATTTTTGTTATTATGTTACATTATTTACTTATTTGTGTTATTATATTTTATTATATTATTTACTTATTTGTGTTATTATATTATATTATTTACTTATTTGTGTTATTTTATTATATTATTCACTTATTTGTGTTATTATATTATTTACTTATTTTTGTTATTATATTATTTACTTATTTTTGTTATTATGTTACATTATTTACTTATTTGTATTATTATATTATATTATTTACTTATTTGTGCCATATTATATTATTTACTTATTTTTTTATTATATTATATACTTATTATTATATTATATTATTTACTTATTTGTGTTATTATATTGTATTATATTATTCACTTATTTTTGTTATTATATTATATTTACTTATTTTTGAGCCAAATAATATGTTTAATTTTACCTCGAGTTCTCTCGTTGGTTCGATATTCATCCTATTATGAACTATATATATATGCATACGAACTTGTTCTAATTGGTTGTTCTGATATTAATTTAAGAAACCTGAAACTTTGCTATATAAAGAAACAAATGATCACACACACATCATACCAGTACATAAGACTATAAAAGCACCACACAATGGCTCAGTGCTAAGCTTGAGGGCTTATAATGCTAAAATTCTGGGTTTGATACCTGTGGTTCGCACAGCCCAGACAGCAATTTTGAAGCTTAGCAACTAGCATAGTATAAGCTGCAGCTTTTACAGTAGCATCACGCCAACAACACTTCATCAAGAATGGTCATGATGTGTTTTCACGACGTCAGAATTTAGAACTCAGTGGAGTGACACGTGATGATATAAAACATAATTTATGTTCCTCTGCACGGCAAAACAAACTCCTAAATGACTGTTTCTACGAGCAGTTAGTTATAAGTGGGAAATGAATGTGTGCACTAGACCCACTCGGACCGTAGTGTGTGTTTTTCAATATGTACATATTGGTTATATATATATATATACACACCACAGAAAATGCTACCAAACAACGATGTACATTTTGGGATCAGCAGCAAATGCTACATAACTACTTTGTACAGTTTGGGATCAGCAGAAAATGCTAGGTAACTACTTTGTACAGTTTTGGATCAGCAGAAGATGCTAGGTAACTACTTTGTAAAGTTTTGGATCAGCAGAAAACTGTACAAAGTAATTACCTAGCATTTTCTGCTGATCCAAAACTCTACAAAGTAATTACCTAGCATTTTGGATCAGCAGAAAATGCTAGGTAAACAATTTATATTTTGTAAAATGATAAGAATAACATGAATTACAATTTCCAAAAATAAGAAATTGTTTTCATGTGTTTATTTTTCAGCTGACCGTTTAAAATGAATCATTTGAGCATACGTTAGGACACAAATAAGTCGGGTACCTTTGAACCAACTCCTTTGGTACTTTGAGAGAAGTATATAAAGTACTTAAACTGGGGTCAAAAGTCATGGTGGGCAGTAGGTGGTTTATAAACTGCCTTCAGTCTTGAGAACGTTTTTAAGAAGAACAGATGCAACAACAAAACAAAACTGGATCCGAGTTGTTTTTTCAAGTTCAAACTTTTAGCTCATAGCCTCTATTTCAGATATAATTACAGCCGCGGCTACTGAGGATTCCTGCTTGTTTTTATTATAGCCAGGGGCTTCAAAAGATAGAAATGGCCCGGGCCTCTCTGAAGAGCCTTATTCATAACATTTAGTAATCATGAGTATGACGTCAACCAAACAGATCTATTCCACGAATGCACAGTACATATACAACACGGATGCAAGGCTTACAATAGTACCGGCAGTACCAGGTTGCCGATACTGGTCCTCAAACATCTCTAATTATGTGATTTGAGCAGTTAGAAATTCAACTAATCTTCCCAGTGTGTGCTCATGGGAAATTTTTTGTTTCCACATCAAACGAAACTGTTAATTATCTGCAAGACTACGTGGTATGATGGCTATGGCAATGAATCAGTTGAAATTTAGGCTTTCTATTGGTTATCAATTTAATGGGCATTGGCCTCAGAAAAAATCTAATAGCAAATTGTAAGTTAGAGCGTGTCAAAGGTAGGCATGGAAAGTCGTTTATGAATTTCCATTGATTGCTCTAGAGCCCCATAAGATTGAAGAATATAAAAATATTGATGTCGAAATTATAGAGGATATTTGACGTTACATGTCATAGTTTTCTAGGGGGGTCCCGGGGTGGACAAAAAAATCCAAAAGAGGAGACGGCTCAGGAACAAATATCCAAATTCTCACACTAGGGGAACTTGAAGTTGTTTTTAAATATTTCCTTTTATAGTTAAAACTTATATAATATTAAAATTTGATTTATTATCTGTGGTTTGATGTCAAGTTTGTTCCTATACCATGATAATTAAGTAGTTTAATTTTGAATGTTACTCACTAAAACGTCGTGACATGTGCAGTTTGACATGCCCTCATGTTAAGGGTTAATCACACACGCACCTACCTAATGTGCAATCAGTCACGTAGGTACATTCACGTTCTCTTCCAGAGCTTGGGAGTCACCAGTTTCCCATATTTCATGCTATTTCCGACTTTCACAGTGAGATTCGCTTATCGACTGAAGTATGAACTCTAAACCACCACATCAAACATTTATAATTCTGTGAAAAACGAAGCTGAAATACCAGAGGAGTCGTTTGGTCAAAACTCCGAAGATGGGAAGTGTGATAACAGATATTATTCTCAACATATCATATACTATTAACCAGTACCAATACCATCTGCAAACCATGGACCCTCAGACTTAAAGTCCTGCAATCTAACCAATCGGCAACGCCTGGTCTTTAAGAAGAGAATAATACAATATATAAATATTTAAAATAATAATAATAATCCTACAGTGTAGGAATACCCAGTTTTTACCGGGCGTATTAATTTATTTTATCTATAGTCATTAGAATATAAAATTATTTAGTGACTCATCTGCAAAATGGAATTATTTTACTTTTAGACTAGCACTGTAATTAGTGTTAGGTGTAAGCAGAAAAACTTAAAATGACCTTAATGCATCGCAATAATTCGAAATTAACACAAATAAATAAATAATATATATATTAACATGGTGTAGTTTTTATATATCGTAAGAATAATGTCAAAACTAAAAATCTTACAGGGTTTTTAAGTGACATGACAGAAATACACTACTTGTTATAATAATACTACTAACGTATCCAAGTTTTATGTAACTTATCACTAACCTTTCATCGAGAAGAGACTACAAGAGCATGCGCAAAGCAGAAGAAAATTTGAAAGTGCAAAGCTAACCCTAAGAGGTACTGGGATGAACTGTGATATTCTTATTTTTGTGCGTATATCTTAATTTAAATCGTTTATCAATAAATTTCATAATGCTTTCAAAAAAAAGAAGTATCAATTAACTTTCTAAAAATGTAATACTTTCGAATTTTTTTAAATGCATTATATTTTAATTGGATAACAGTTTTGCTTTTAGCATTTGCATTCATTGGATGATATAAAAACCTTATTTCAATCAATTAAACAACAGAGTTTGGAATGAATTAAAACCACACACAAAAAAAAAACATAAGCTGACGCAATATATACAGCCAACAGAGGGATTACGAAATTAAAAACAAGCAAGCCAAGCAAAGGTGTTAACAGTGCTAACAAGAGCAGGCTTGTTCATTGTTGTAACCATGACAACATACAACAATAAGACACACACATATATATGTATATATATATATACGAACCATTAGTTGTGCGAGACCCGAGTGTTGTTGCTGAAAATGAAAGACGAACATGATAAATTTTCTAAAGTAATTAGAGTTTTTTAGATTTATTTCATTGTTTTGGAAGAGTTAATAAATCTTTATTTTATCTAGAATGCCTTTATTAATAAATCTTCTTTCAATGGCAATATTTCGTATTTTCTAAGGTTTATAAATACTTAAAAAACATATTTTAAGAGGCGGATATCACAACGAAACTAACCAAGAGAAAAGAATTTCAAAAACTTGAGGAGATGCAGGTAAGTTTTAAAAAGAAAACAATTATTCCAATGGCTGTTATACAAACCTAAACAAAAAGTTACACAATCAAAAGCCACCATTAAAAAATATCGCAGCTGTGAAGACTTTTTCTTGAATATTTAGCTTGTTTGGGATACAAACTACACAAGGACTATCTGCACTAGCCTTTCCTAATTTTCAACTTATAGACTTAGAGGGAAGGCATCAAGTCAAAGACACACCGACAACTTTCTCAGCTACTCTAAACAAACAGTTGGATTTGAGGTCAACTTTATAACACACCTTACGGCCCCAAATTGTAAAGCAAGATTTTTTTCTTTCTGTGGCAAAGCTCGAGCTGTGTAGCCTCAGATCCATAGCTCAGCACAATGAATACTTGTCTACACCCATCCCGGATTCTTAAAGACCAACTAATCAATTAACAAGCCCCCAGTATCACAGCGGTATGTCTGTGGACTTACAAAGCTAGAAACCGGGTTTGATACCAGTGGTGGAAAGAGTACAGATAGCCCTTTGTGTTTAACTACAAACATACAAAATCAAATGACAATAAACTTCTAATTATGTATAAAATTGTCTTTAACTAAGCATCACTTTGATCTTTCCATTTTTCTGCAACAAGATGCTAACCTCGTATTTATGTTTAGTATTTTCTCATTATTGTACTCTCTCTCGACCTTTATACCGTATTTTCTCATTACTGTACTTTCTCGACCGTTATACGTTATTTTCTCATGACTGTACTCTCTCGACCGTTATACGGTATTTTCTCATGACTGTACTCTCTCCACCTTTATATGGTATTTTCTCATGAC